GTCCCGTACGTCCCGCGACCGAGTCCTGGTCCGTCCCGTACGTCCCGCGACCGAGTCCTGGTCCGTCCCGTACGTCCCGCGACCTGGTCCGTCCCCGTACGTCCCACGACCGAGTCCTGGTCCGTCCCCGTACGTCCCGCGACCGCGTCCTGGTCTGTCCCCGTACGTCCCACGACCGAGTCCTGGCCAGTCCCGTATCTCTCAGCGACTGCATCCCACGCCCGTCCTGGATGCTCAAGCGATATACCTTGCGGACATGTTCAGATCATCCAGGACTCTATTCGACATGAAGTACCTGAGCAAGTTTGGATACAGGGTGGACAAGGCGGACCTGTCCGCCGCTCAAGTCCTGGCCATCAAGTCCGATCTCACCGTCCGTCCCGTCTCGGACTCCGAGTACGGATTGCCGCCTTCCTTTCGGATCTACGCCGAGACGCCGTCCCAATACATTGTGCCAACATGGTACGGGATCAAGACCCTGGGCAGACCCGACAAGTCGTTCCTGGCTCTGGACGTCCCATCCCAAACGATCACGGACTTTCGCGGCCAGCTCCGGGAATCCCAAGTCGAGCCCATGGACATCTGTCTGAACTATGTCCGGACCAACAAGCGTGGAGTACTGTGCCTTCCAACCGGGACGGGCAAGACGTTCTGCTCCCTGTATCTCGCGTCCAAGCTCGGACAGCGTACTCTTGTCATTGTCAACAAGCGGACGCTGATGGACCAGTGGCGCGATGAGATCAAACGCTTCATCCCAAACGCTCAGGTCGGGACGATCCACCAGACGGCGTGTGATCCGTCCGGGGACATTACCATTGCCATGTGGCAGACCTTGAATGCTCGCGAATCCGTCCCTGGCACGTACGGACTCATCATCCTGGACGAGTGCCACCGCGTCTCGAGCCGGATCTTCAATACCGTACTGTTCAAGATCAACGCACCGTACGTCCTGGGACTGTCCGCGACGCCCGAGCGCAAGGACGGTCTTGAGTCCGTCATGCACCACCACATTGGCGAGATCATGTACCGGCAGCAGGGCATCAAGCGCGGGACTCTGGCGACCGCCGTACTTGTTGCGGACTACCGTGGACAGTACACCGTGTCTCCACGCCAGTTCAGCACGTTCGTCACCGAGCTTGTCAAGGACCAGGCCCGCACAGACTTTATCGCCGAGGTCATCCAGTCCATCTTTTCACGAAGTGACGGCGACCATCGTCACGTCCTCGTCCTGACCGACCGCGTGCAGCACGCCCAGCGACTGTCCGCCAGCGTCACGAACGTCCTCGCGGGAAAGTCCGTTGCTGTATTCACCGGACAGTCCGCACTCAAGGATTTCGACCGCGCCAAGTCGGCGGACGTCATCATCGCCACGTACAAGATCTTCGAGGAGGGGATCTCGGTCGAGTCCCTGAACACTTTGGTCCTGGCGACCCCCAAGAGGACGGTCACCCAAGCCGTGGGGCGGATCTACCGGCGGGAGCACAGGATCCCGCCCCTCATTGTCGACATCGCCGACGGGCAGCTCAAGAGCCAGCTGCAGAGTCGCCTGGACACGTACTCCCAAGAGACGGGCGGCAATCTGGTCATCAGCCGTCCCTGGTTGAATTAAACGTCCGTGACGTCCAAGAGCATGGAGTCGGATCTTGCCTGCATTGCACTGTTCGTCCAGGCCCAGTACGAATCCCTCGAGTACACGCTTCCAACCGGTACCGCCATGGTCGTCGAGAGCATCTTTGACTACGTCCGTGCCATGTTTCATGGCCGTGCAGACAAGGATCTGGCTCAGCACGCCGGTCGCGTCCATGACATCTGCGCTCGTCTTCGTCGGATCCTCAAAGAGTACCATCCGATCGACACGCTCGGCGCGACTGCATGGATCGACGACCTTGAACAGCGGCTTGTGAGCATGCAGTGTCGCGGTCTCACGCCGCTGATGCTCCAGTACCTTGAGGTCCTCGACGATCAGCTGAACGAGTCCCTGGACAACAAGTCCAAGACATCCAATGAAGCCTTCAAGTCCGCCATCGACGTGTACGAAACCATGCGTGTCATCAAGGAGCACATCCACGCCAAAGTGCCCGCCGAGTGCATCCAGTACGTCTGCTCACAGATGGAGCCCGCCTTCGCCAAGGGCTTCACGCACGTCCGCGATGCAATCCTCGATACTCTTGAACATCCCGACTACCAAATGCCCGTCCAGATGCTCACGTACAAGTTCTTGGCATTCCTGGACGGGATCAGCGACGCCGATGAATAAAAATGTTGCCTTGTGTAATGACGATCCAGTCACGTCGTCGCTCACGCAAGTCAGCCGTCAAGGCGGCCACACGGCGTACCACACGGCGTACCACACGGCGTACTCTGCGTCGATCGGCAAAACGTCCCTTGGTCACCAAGGGATCCGCGCCCAAGAAGTCCAGACGCCGGACTGCAGTCCGCAAGCAGACTGTCCCAAACCAGCGCCCAGTCCCGCGCAAGTCTATGAAGCGTCCCGTCGCGGCCCGCCCATCAACTCGGAGATCAAAGTCCACGGTCCGTCCAACGAGGACCCCGGTCCACAAATCGGCGGTAGTGTCCAAGAAGATCAGCACGCGACGCAGACCCACATCCGCCAGACGTCCAAGCGTCTCTGTGCATCCGGCTCATGAAGCGTCCAAGCAGTCAGGCGGTTCGCGCTCCTCGAGATCGAGCCGCAAGTCTTTGATCCGCCCGGCCGATACCTCGCTACGTAGCCGGCAGCTCCGCAAGTCCCGCCGCCAGGCAAGCACCGTTGTCACGAGTGCCTACTTTACCAATCCTCTACGGCAGCCGCGACAGGCTCCCGCTCCTCAGCCGCCAGCTCCCCAAATCATTGAGCGGATCATTTACGTGACTCAAAATGGTACCCAGACAGAACTCGTACCCCAAGGATCAGTGACGACCACACAACAGATCATGCCCTCCCATCTGCATACCGCGGTCCAGCCCCAGCAGCTGTCCACGCCGTCGCCTGTGACCCATTCTGCGACGATGACACCAGTCCATCGTGCTCATCCACCAGCCGATCCACACCCCGGATCCTACACGTCTCCCCCGCCCACTCTCCATGTCTCGTCCCCTGATCCCGCACCGCCTTCTCCACCGCCGTCTGGGACTCAACAGTTCGTACCTCCTCCTCCGCCTCCTCCGCCGTCTGGGACTCAACAGTTCGTACCCCCGCCTCCTCCACCGCCGTCTGAGACTCAACAGTTCGTACCTCCTCCACCTGGTCAGCCAGCCGTACCTCCACCCAGTCAGCCAGGCGTACCCCCTCCACCTCCTCCTCCGCCGCCTGGGCCGCAACAGTTCGTACCCCCTCCACCTCCTCCCCCGCCTGGTCAGCCGCCCATGCCTCCAGTATCCTCCCAGGATCACTCCAAGTCCGCCGCTGAAGATGACAGTATGCTTGGGGAAATGATGCGGAAGGCGGCCGTCCTACAAGCAAGGCGGAAGACCATGAGCTCGGATCCAGAGGCTCCCCAGCCACCACCCGCAAGGACCAGCTCAACGCCGTTCCTTGCAGACATCAGGAAAGGAGTAACGCTCCGACCTGCTCAGAAGGGTCCACGACCAAGCAAGTCAACTCCCTCAATTCACCCGATCTTCAATAGCGCGCGCCAGAAAGTACTGTCCTCTTCCAACTCAAGTCCAGGCGCATCAGACGACTCCGCTGACGATGAACAATGGCACGAGGCACCACCATCTTCTCGCGCGTAAGTGACGTCCACGCCGACCAAAAAATACTTCCATGACAGCATGGAAGTATCCGTGTTCCCCCGGCGGGACTCGAACCCGCACCCTTAAGATTAGAAGTCCTACGCGCTATCCATTGCGCCACGGAGGAAAACGACAACGACAGGACTCGAACCTGTGCGCCCCGGAGGGCAATACCTTAGCAGGGTACCGCATTAACCACTCTGCCACGTTGTCGGTCGAGCACTTGCTGTACTCAATGTAGCCGTCCAAAAAAATCCCAGTGCGTTAGACGAATCGTCCAGACGCGTCTAATCCGTCATGGTACCAGCATCCACGGCTCTTGTCGTCATCGTCCCCTTTTCTGCTGTTTTCTTGCGGCTGTCGTGGATGCGGCGGATCTGGTTCATGACATGGTCAGAGTTGGAGTCCCATGGCCGGCCAAAGGGATAGTACAAGGGGCCGTACACGACGTCAGGACTACGGCGCCGTCTGCGAGTGGAACGGCGAGTCGTACGCCGGGATGACCGCCGGGACGACCGGCGACCGGTCCTGCGACGTGATGTACGGCTGGACTTGGACGCTTGGGACTTGGACGTCTGGGACTTGGACGACTGGGACCTGGGACGACGATGCTTGGATCTCAGACGAAGCATTTACTGTAACCCGACAAAATAAATCTGCATCGCTCAAGCATCCAGCCAAGACGTCTACGATCCTCAACGTGTCCATCATGGATCGCGTACTCTCCCTGTCCGCCCGCCCAAAGTCGTTCCAGGATGTCGTGGGGCAAGACAAGATCGTCCAGGCCTTGTACCAGCAAGTCCAATGTGGCCGTGTCCCGCACTTCTTCCTGCTGTATGGCAGCGTCGGCTCCGGCAAGACCACGCTGGCGCGGCTGATCGCGTACATGCTCAACCAGTGTGACCGCGCGGGCTTCATGCAGTCCGGCATCGTGGACTGGTCCGCGTACCGCAAGCTGGACATCCGCGAAGTGAACGCAGCCAACACGAACGGCGTCGACGACATGCGGCAGCTCATCCAGCAGCTCAAGTACAAGCCGTTCGACCCGTCCATTGCCAAGATCGTCATCCTGGACGAGGCGCATCAGCTCACGACAGCAGCACAGAATTGCCTCATCACCGAGACCGAGGACGTCCCGGACCATGTCTTCTTCATCTTCTGCACGTCGCAGGAATCCAAGATCATCAAGGCGCTGGAGCGCCGGGCGTACATCATCCGTCCCAAGCACTTTGGGGAGGACGACCTCGCGAACCTAATCGAGCGCGTCGCCAAGATGGCGGGCTACGCCGGGGACACGGATCCCCTCGTCGAGTGCCTGGTCCTGTCGCAGATCACCAGCCCGGGACTCGCGCTCCAGTCGGCCGAAAAGTACTTTAATGGCTACAGCGCCAAGGAGAGCGTGTACCACTGCGACGACGGGCAGATCTGCCCCATGACGCTGTCCAAGTGTCTCGTCCGCGGGAACTGGAAGGATGCGTCCGGGCAGATTCGCCGGATGTCCAAGAGCGACATTGTACCCGTCCGCAACGTTGTCCTCGGGCATCTCCGGTCCATCCTGGTGACTGTGGACGGGGATTGCGCCGCCAAAGCAGCCCAGGCCATCAAGGAGCTGTACACGTCGCCACTGGACGACCTCACCGCCCACTCTGCCGCTCTGTTCAGCGTGTCCGCTTTGATGAAGACGTAATGTATTCCGATTTACAAACGAGACCCGTTCAAATGAGTCCGGGCGTAGCATCTCGCCACGGTATGGCTGTTGCGCCCACACCGCGTACACTTGAAAGATCCCTCGCTCGACTCGCTCCCGGACACGTACGCGACGCGGTGCTTGATGAGTACCGGCTGCCGCTTGATAGCTTCGAGGACGAGATCCTCGCCCACCGTGTCCAGACCAGTGATGGTCTCCGTGTCGGATCCATCGACGTCCGGGTCTGGATCCGCGGGCACATCACGGACCACGGGCGCCAAGTCTTCGAACGCATCCCCGTCGTCCCGTGCATCCCCGTCGTCCCGCGTCCCGGGATCTTCGGCGAGACGGCCGGTCCGGACGGATTCGTGGACCTCGCCGTCAAGGCTCTCCGAGTCGTCGTCGAGACGCTTGTCGAGACCTTCGTCCGAGTACTCGCTGGGACCTTCGTCGTCGTCCTCGTCGGGACCTTCGTCGGGACTTTCGTCCGAGTCCTCGTCCGAGTCCTCGTCCGGTACATACGTGCAGTCGTGCCGCCTAAAGGCCGCCATCGTCTTGGCCTGCTCGCCGCAAACCTCACACAGGTATCCGCCACGTTGTGGGATCTGTCCTGGACAGTCGCGCAAAAAGTGCCCAGCTTGCTTGCATCCAAAGCACTTGTTGTCGACCGTCAGCAGCTCCTTCTCGAGCGCGCTCCGTGTCCGTGGATCCAGCTTGATCTGCGAGTACGATCCGCCACGGACGTTGTCGATCCCGTACTGCCGCATGTACACCTTGACAAACTTGTCTTCGTCAAACGGGTCCGCATTGGGCTCGAGATGGACAACCTTCAGAGGGCGATACATGGCAGTCCACGCCGAACCGTTCCCACGGACGTGATCGCCAATACGGATCCGCGCATTCGTGGTCCGGCCGACATAGTACTTGTTGCTGGTACACTCGAGGACGTACACGGTGATGCTCATGGTACAGTCCCGCATTCCTGGACGAAACGGCCTTGTCCGCCCAGTGAATCGATCATTTTGCTGGCAACAGTAATGATCCGCTCTATCCGACTCTTTGACGTGGCTGTCGTGGACGTCGCCGCAACCATCATTGCCGCGTGGTATGTGTCGTCCCGCACACGTACGAATCCGTGGATCATCCTCGCGGGACTTCTGATCGCGGCCACTGTAGCCCACACCATCTTTGGTGTCCAGGCCAAAGTCTTGGCCGTTAAGTTGGGGGACTGATCCGCGATGGTCCTCGCCCTCATCGAGCCGCACTGCTCCCTCCAAACCGTGCATCGGCTGGGGCTCGACGTCCTCGACGTCTTTGAGCGCCGCCTGGCCGCCCGCGTCCTGTCCCGCACTGGTATCCGGCTCGAGGACTTCCGGGATCTTTTGCGGCGGACGGACGCCTTTGTGTCAGGCTCAGTCTTCCACTACCTCTCTGGCGACATCCCCGACCGGGACTTTTTCGAGACAAGCGACGTGGACGTGTACTGCCAGTCCGACAGCGACGAGTCCATTGACGCGTTCCTGGTCCAGTCCGGGTTCGTCCGCTCCAGCCGATCAGCGTACCCACGTTCCTTTGCTGTCCACGACTACACCAACGGCCAGGTGAAGATCCAAGTCATCGTCCATCCGCCAAGTCCCGCGTTCTCGTCCGACGTACTTGCTGGGATGGATCTCGCCGTGTGTCGCAACCTGTACAATGGACGCCGCGTCGTCCTGTCCGACGCGTTCCTCGCCCGATCTGAGACGCTCACGTCCCTGGACATCCGATCCTTCCGGACTCGAGTCGCCAAGTACGTCCGCCGCGGGTACATCCTGACCTTTGACGTGACCGCCCCAGTCGTATCCGAGATCCCGCACGTCCTCTTGGATGAACTCCTGGACGCGTCCACGGACGATCGGTACCTGCTGTGTCCCCTGGTCCTGTCTTACTTGGCTGCGACGGCCATTGCGTGGTTGCGCGACCGCCGTCACATTGCCCGGCATCTCAAGGCGACCATCCTGGCCAAGGCAGCGGAATTCGCGTCAGAGATCCCCGACGTCCGCATCAAGCGGACCCTGCAGACTGTCGCGTCGACTCTGGACACGGCGTGGTCCAACCGAGATTGGCTATAAAGACACGGGACGCACCCCCTGGTTGGCTCCCCACCCTTCTGATCAAACATGGCGCGTCTCAACTACGACATTGTCGAGCATATCCTCCTCAAGGCTATCGCGGATCCCAACCTGCGCCAGTTCGACGCCAAGAACATCTTCCGCGTCTCCCTCGGATTCCGAATGAACCGCGTCCGCAACCGCGCCATCCCGCGCATCAATGCGTGCAGTCCCGGCCAAGCCGCCGCCAAGGGCCAGATCGACCTCCTGGAGTGGTGGGCCGCTTCCCGTCATCATCTATCCCACGAGGCCGTCGCATCCCTCGGTGCCCGATACCGCCAGATCCACGTGCTGGAATGGCTCCTCGCGCGCGGCCACGACTTTACGCAGAACATGGAGTCGGTCGTCACCGCAGCTCACTACGGGCACATTGACGTCCTCGAATGGCATCTGGAGCGCGGATTCACGGCCTTCTTTGACACTGCGCTCCGCCGCGCGGTCGTCCGCAACAACGTCCACGTCCTCGAGTGGTTCCAAGACCGCAGCGGCGTCGACTTGTCGTGGGACGACCTCGACATCACCGCGGCGATCGCCGACGCCGTTTTGTCGCTCCAGTGGTTGCACGCCCGCTATGGGATAAACGTGCTCGGCGTCATTTCCGTCGGGATGTGGTCCGGGGCAAACGAGGTCATGGCGTGGATCGACTCGTTCAACGTCACGGCATTCTGGTCGACTGTCCTCGACGAGCTCGACATGCACATCATCGACGGCGACTCGGTTGGGTTGGTCAAGGGCTGGATCAACACTGGACGCCCCTGTGTGCTTGCCCAGGACATTGCCATGACAAGTGCCCGGCTCGACGACGAGAACGTGATCGCCGAGCTCTACGCGCATCCCAAGATCATCATCAACTGGGACCGGGTGATTGAACAGGCGGTTGACTTTGGATCCACGACCGTCCTCACCGAACTCTTTGACCAAGACTCTGGCCGGGATTACCTGTACAAAGCCCTCAAGTACGCCGGCGTCACCAACAACGTCGTCGTCGTGGACTGGGTCTTCATGTCCGAGTTCCGGGTTGACTGGACGTGGTTTGCCAAGACCATGGCGCTCAACGTCCAGGTCGAGATCCTCGATTACCTCTGGGACATGGACGCCGACGTCGCGTGGAACGACATCGCCAAGACGTACCCCATGATGTCGGCGGCCAAGTTGGCGATGTGGCTGCATGGAAAAGGGCTTATGTAAACGCACCAACAAGAAATATTTTTTTTCTGGGCTAAGGTAAACCAACATGTCTTCAGGTGGTCTTCTCCAGCTCGTCGCGACCGGCTCGCAGGATGTGTACCTGACCAGCAAGCCGCAGATCACCTTCTTCCGCGTCGTGTACCGCCGCTACACCAACTTTGCGATGGAGTCCATGGAGCAGACGTTCT